TAATATTAAGTCGGGCCTGTCCCCCTACAAGGGGATTTTCGAAGAACACAAAAATACCCAACAAATAATCCAAAAATGGTCTAAATAGTCGGGGGGTTATTTTTTGTGTATGTGTTGACCTTTTTGGGGTACGGTTTGGTTATTTTTTCTCGTCGAAAATCCCACTGTAGGGGGACAGGCCCGACTTCATTTCGATACTGGTCGTTCTTACTGGCACGCGTGTTTTGCATTCAGTATACCCTAACCCTCGATACCCGCCCACTTCGTCTTCGATCGCACCCCCTTTCGGGCGGAAAATGCTGTCAGCCACGGCCTGCAGTGCGAGGAACTCTCGAGCAAGATCGCCTGTCATGAGTTTGGGGGCCTCTCTTGCCAGGCCAGGGGCTCTCGGAGTATTTATTGAGAAATATCGAACGGGAGCCTTTGTCACCGTGTCTGTGCCTCCACCAACTTGCCCGAATTACCGGAACATCTCGAGCGAGAGCGCCACTCTTGAGTTCGGGGGCCTCTCTGGCAGGGGCCTCTGCGAATACATCTTGAGGAAGTATCGAACGGGAGCCCTTGTCGTCGCATTTTCCATCAGTTTGACTCAATCATGAGAATCTCGAGCGAGACGCCGTTCCTGAGTTCGGGGTCTTTCCTGGCCAAGGGCTCTCAGAGTAAATCGTTAGGAAGTATCGAGCAGGAGCCCTTGTCGTCGTCGCTGGGCCCCCGCCAACATGATTGAATTGCGAGGAATTCTCGGGCGAGAGCGCCGTTCCTGAGTTCGGGGGCCTCCCTGGCCAGGCTGTTTCCGGGTAGCTGTAAGGCAAAATCGAGCATGAGTCGTTGTCGTCGTAGCTGGGCCTCCAAGAACCCACCTTTACATTCGAGCAAACGCTCGAGCGGGAGCCTTGCTTTCAGAGAACATGTAGCCGGCGTCGAAGCGAAGTCGTTCGGAACCGTGTCCGGAGATCAACAATAGTTATTATCTGGAAGTGAGTATCTAGAAGCGAGCATCCAAGAACAACAGCAGCAACAACAACAGCAACAACTACAACACAAACAACACCACCAACAACAAAAACAATAATTTCAAGACTGTTCGCTTTTATCGGCTCTAGTGTCCGTTAACGCGTATTTCCCAAACCCTCGATACTCGCCCTCTTCGTCTTCGATCGTACCCGTTTTGGAGGTCTACCTTTCTTCCCTGCAGGCTGGGCCCCAGCAAGCGGCGGGGCGGCCGCGGACCGTCGGCCTGGCCAGCGGCAGCGCTGATCGGCGGCAACCCGACCCCAAGAGGGACGGACAGGGGACCGACGGCGGCGACGACGACGACGACGACGACGACGACGACGGCGACGACGGCGACGACGACGACGATGAAGACGAGCGAAAGCGAGAGCGAGAGAGAGAACGACAGCAAGGCCACGAAGGGCAAGAAGTAGGCCACGAAGGGCGACAACGGGGACACGAAGGGAATGCACATGGGGCCACGACGGGCGCGAACGAGCGGGGGCCACGAAGGGCATGCGTATATTAGGCCGCGGAGGGCAAGGACGGGGCCAGTGAGGGCAGCAACGGGGCCACGAAGGACGGCCAGGGGGCCACGAAGGGCAACAGCGGGGTCACGAAGGGCATGCATATGGGGCCACGACGGGCGCGAGCGAGCGGGGGCCACGAAGGGCATGCATAGACGGGGCCTCGAGGGGCAGCGAGGGGGACACGAAGGGCTGCAACGGGGCCACAAAGGGCAGCGAGGGGGCCACGCAGGGCTGCAGCGAGGCCACGAAACAAAGCGAGGGGGCCACGAGGGGCTGCAACGGGGCCACGAAGGGCAGCGAGGTGGCCACGAAGGGCCGCAACGGGGCCACAAAGGGCAGCGAGGGGGCCACGCAGGACTGCAGCGAGGCCACGAAACAAAGCGAGGGGGCCACGAAAGGCTGCAACGGGGCCACGAAGGACAGCGAGGGGGCCACGAAGGGCTGCAAAACGGGCCACGAAGGGCTGCAACGGGGCCACGAAGGGCAGCGAGGGGGATACGAAGGGCTGCCACGGGGCCACGAAGGGTAGCGAGGGGGCGACGACGGGTGCAACGGGTCCACGAAGGGCAGCGAGGAGGCCACGAAGGGCTGCAACGGGGCCACGAAGGGCAGCGAGATCCCGACTCCGAAGTCAACTATGAGGGAGTCCTAAGCGTGAGCGCGACTCCTGGGTGCCTGAGTGTCGGGAGCGCGGCGCTTGAGTAAATTGCGGGAGATTCCAACGCAAGGGCGTCATTCTTGAGCGAATGGCAAGCAAGTCCCAAGCGAGAGCGCGATTCCTGAATCAAATGCAAGGAAATTTCTGAAGGGAGCGCGATTCTTCAATACATTGTGAGGAAGTATCAGGCGGGAACCGCAGTTGTTCTAAACCGGGGGCCAACAACACAGTTGGAACATCAAGACTTTCCCTGAAAAAAACAGGGTGCGAGCCCCGGGAGGGGCATTCCAATTGAAAAAATCAATGTGCACCAGGCGGGGGGGATCAACAATCATTAAAGCGAGATTTCATCAACAACAGCAGCAGCAACAACAACTGTTCCTTTTTGATATTCCTTTACAATTAATGCCCAAATCGCGCTCTCGCGCGGGACGTCTTCACGACGTATGCAGGAACAACGCTCTCGCGTAGGACTTCCTGGCAATGTTTTCAGACGCCGCGCCCGCGACAATCAGGAATCACGCTCTCGCTGTTGATTTCCTCACGATGTATTTGTGAGTCGCGATATCGCTCGAGACTTTTTCGCGATTCATGCAGGACGCACGCTTCAGCATCCCGCTTGCTGGACCTGGCCGTCTGGGCTCGCCTTCCCGACTCGCCCGCTAGGGTCTGCCCATCCGATCTGCCCGTTTGGTTATTCCACGTGTTTTCCGCTCCTAGCCCCCTCCTAATAATTCCGTGTTCCATCCGTCTCCCTCCCCCTTCCATCCGTCCTTTGGTCCCCTGTTTCAGGAGCTGCACCAATTACACGCGGCAGGTAATGAAGATGTACCCCCAAGGGGGTACGATCGAAGACGAAGAGGGCGGGTATCGAGGTTTTGTGGCATACGTGTTAAATGGCGCGCGAGCGGATATGAGCGAGCAGATGTTACAATGATTGTAGTTGTTGTTGCTGCTGCTGTTTGTGACTGCTGCTGTTGGTGTTGTTGGTGGTGTTGGTGCTGCTGTTGTTGTTGGTGTTGTTGACGTTGTTGTTGTGATTGGTGTTGGTGTTGTTGTTGGCGTTGATGCTGTTGTTGGTAGTGTTTATGTTGCTGTTATTGTTGTTGTTGTTGTTGGTGGTGGTGCTGTTGTTGCTGTTGTTTGCTGTTGGCGTTGTTGTGTTGATTGGCGTTGGTGTTGTTGGTGTTGTTGGTGCTGTTGTTGCTGGTGTTGTTGCTGTTCTTGTTGTTGCTGCTATTGTTGAATTCTCACTTCTGAAGAATAAGTATAGCTGATCCCCCCCACCGGTGCATACTGTTTTTTCTCAATCAAAGTGTGCCCCTCGACGCTCGCACCCGGTTTTTTGACAGGGAAAGTCTTCCTGCTCAAACTGGGCCCCTGGCCCCCGGGTTACAACGACAACGGCTCCCGCTTGAGACATCTTTACAGTCCTTACAATTTAGCCAGGACCCCCGCTCCCGCCCGAGACTTCCTCGCATTTTATTCAGGAATCGCGCTCTCGCTTGGGACTTCCTTACAATTTATTCAGGAATCGCTCTCCCGGCGCTCTGGAGTCGCGCTCTCGCTGGAGACTTGCTTGAAACTTGCTCAAGAATGGCCTTGCGTTGGAATTTCTTGCAATTTGCCAAGCGCCACGCTCCCGACGCCCAGGCACCCAGGAGTCGAGCCCGTTGTGGCCCCATGTGCATGCCCTTCGTGGCCCCGCTGTCGCCATTTGTGTCCCCCTCACTGTCCTACGTGGCCCAGGTGCTACCCTCAGTGGCCCCATAGTTGCCTTTTGTGGCCCCGCATTATCTGCACTTCGTGGCCCCCGCTCGTTCGCGCTCTTCGTGGCCCCATACGCATTCCCTTCGTGTCCCCGCTGTCGCCCTTCGTGGCCTACTTCGTGCCCTTCGTGGCCCTGCTGTCGTTCTCTCTCGCTCTCGCTTTCGTTCGTCGTCGCGTCGTCGTCGTCGTCGCCGTCGTCTTCGACGTCGTCGTCGTCGTCGTCGTCGTGGTCGGTCCCCTGTCCGTCCCTCTTGGGGTCGGGTCGACGGTCCGCGGCCGCCCAGCCGATCAGCGCTGCCGCTGGCCAGGCCGACGGTCCGCGGCCGCCCCGCCGCTTGCCGGGGCCCGGCCTGCAGGGAAGAAAGGTATACCCCTGAAAAGGGGTTCGATCGAAGACGAAGAGGGCGGGTATCGAGGGTTTGGGAAATACGCGTTATTGGACACTCGAGCATATAAGGGCGAACAGTCTTAAAATGATTGTTGCTGTTGTTGTTGGTGGTGTTGTTGTTTGTTGCTTGTTTTCTTGCTTGTTGTTTGTTGATTTTTTGTTTGTTTTCTTCCTTATTGTTTGTTGTCGTCGTCCCCCCCGCGACCCGGCCCGCGACTCACCTACAACCCACCCGCGACCCAGCCCGCAACCCGGCCCGCGACCCACCCGCGAACCACCCGCGACCCGGCCCGCGACCCGCCCGCGACCCACCCGCGACCCATTTGCGACCCACCCGCGACCCACCCGCAACCCACCCCGCGACCCACTCATGCTATAATTTGTTTGAATTAGGCGCGTGCGGCGGGCTTCTTCAGAGCCTCGAAGACTGCAGGCGTCCCCGCCGCCCCCTCACTCATATCCGCAATTGCGGGGTGTTACGTACGGAAAAGGAATGGGGATGATGGAAAGGAGGAGGAGTAGGAGTAGGAGGAGGAGGAGGATAAGGAGCGATAGGAAGAGGAGGAGGAGGAGGCGGAGGAGGAGGAGGAGGAGAAGAAAGAGGAGGAGGACAGCGGCGGCGGCTGCGGGCGATGGCGACCGCGACCGCTGCGCGCCCGAGGAGGAGAGGAAGCGCGCGGAGCGCGAGGCTGCGGAGCAGAGGCGGCGCCAGAGGGAGCGGGAGGAGGAGGACCGCCGGAGGGAGCAGGAGAAGAAGAGGCGCCGGGAGGAGGACCCCTCGGGGACGCCGCCGCGGTCGTCTCGGCTACACACCGCGTAGGAGTGACCCGTAGCCGGGGTGACCTTTGGTGCGGGCCCGCAGGGGTAACCCCAGCACTGGCTGGCGCGCTCGAGCTGCTAGGATCTGGCCTCCCCCGCCGCCCCCCCCCCCTATGGCCGCGCAGGAAACAGGTCACTCGTGCCTAGGGTCACTCTTGCGTGCAGCCGGTCGTCGCCTCCGTCGTCATTGCTTTTGAATCCCCACTTCTGGAAGACACGCTGTATGCTTCTCCACCCGCGGGCCGGCATCATGCCTTTGCTGTTGAAATGCCCCCCATGGGGCTCGCCCCTTCAATTTTGTGGTCAGGGAATGTATTGGGCCTCAAGCTGGATTTGTGCCCCCCCCGGCTACAACTGACACTTCATCACAATTTAAATCGGAACCGCGCTTTCGCTCGAGACATCTTCATAATATACTCAAGAATCGCGCTCTCGCCTGGACTTTCTGTTAATTTTGGAAGGAGTCCGCGCTCTCGCTTCGGACGTCCGCGCTCTCGCTTCGGACGTCTTTGCAATTTAGCCAGGAAGCGCGCTTTCGCCTCTCAGGATTTGCATTTTCGCCCAGGCCTTCTTTGCATACTACGTAGGAATAGCGCCCTCGCCACACAACTATTCCCCTCAGATTTATCCACGAATCGCGCTTTAATGTCTGGCCCGCCTTGCCCGCCCGTTAGGATCCACCCGCCCGACCCGCCCGCTTGGGCCTGCCCGCCCTATCCGCCTGTGAGGGTCCACCCGCCCGACCCGCCCATTGGGGTCGATCCTTAAGTCGGGCGTGTCCCCCTACAGAGGGATTTCCGACGAAAAATTCAAAAATACCGCAGAAAAAATCCCAAAATTGCCAAAAAAATACCCCCAACATAGTCCCCAGACTATTTCTGGACTATGTTCTGACTATTTCTGGGGCATCTTTTTGGTTTTCGTCGAAACTCCCCCTGTAGGGGGGACAGGCCCGACTTGAGTCTGCCCGCCCGATCTCTTCGGGGTCCTGCCGCCCGCTTCCACGGAGGCCCGCCCGCCCGCTCGAGCTTCCCGCCCGCCCACTCCGCCCCGTCGGGGTCCACCCGCCCGACCCGCCCGATTGGGTCTGCCCGCCCTATCCGCCCGTGAGGGTCCGCCCGCCCGACCCGCCCACTGTCAAGCTCATGTTCTGAGAACATTGCTTTGGTTCTTAGAACATTTTTGGGTTCTAAGAACATTGCTTTTGTTCTTAGAACATTGTTTTTGTTCTTAGAACCTTTCGGTGGTTTCCACGAAACGTTCTTAGAACACTTCTGGTCGGGGCTGTCGTGTTGTAGCACATCGGGTTTATGTGCTAAGAGCATTGCTTTGGTTCTTAGAACATTTGTGGGTTCTAAGAACATCTCGGACTGCCGGGACAGTCGGTCCCTGCTCAACATTGGCCGGGATTCAAGAGACGGGGGTCAATGCAAACGGGGGTCAGCCAGGGCACCAGATCCTGGATCCTGCGAAGACCCCCTCTGGCTGACCCGGGTCAGCGAGCCGCTCGTGGTCGCGAGGCGGCCGTGCCGATTGGCTGACCCGGGGTTGCGAAGACCTGCGTTGCAGTTTTTTTTTGTTATTGCATTTCTGTTGTTTGGTTTCCTGCTGACCTGGGTCAGAAGATTCCCGATTTGTTCTGAGAGCATTGTTTTTGTTATTGGAACAGTTTGGGTCAGAAGTTGTTGTTCTGAGAGCATTGTTTTTGTTCTTGGAGCATCTTAGGGTTCTACGAACATCTCGTGGTAGGACTATAGGAATGCCGGGACGGCCGGCCCCTGCTCAACATTCTGCACGAACGAGATGGGCACGGAAAGCATGGGTACGATGCCCAACAGCAGTTCCTGTTCATTTCGGTTTGGGGCAACGTGTGTTGTTCGGCACTGTGCCCATTCTTTCCGTACCGATCTCGGGCGTCCAAAAAAACGTTGGGGCCTGCCCGCCCGATCTCCTCGGGGCCCTGCCGGCCGCTTCCGCGGAGGCCCGCCCGCCCAGCCCGAGCTCTTCCCGCCCGCCCGATCTCCGCCCCGGCCGGGGTCCGCCCGCCCAGCCTCGTGTGTCCCTGCAGGGGGAACTCTCAGCGAAAAGCATTCAAAGAATATTCAAAAATACCCCCAAATACCCAAGAATGCTCAACAAATACCCAAGAATACCTCAAGAAGGCCAACAAATACTAAAAGAAAATAGTCCCCTGACTATGTTTGGACTATGTTTGATTATGTTTGGGGAATCGTTTATTTTTCGTCGAAATACATTCAAAAACAGCTTTGGTTCTCGACGAAAAGCATTTCCCAAATATGCAAAAATTCAAAACATACCCAAACATATTCAAAACATATTCAAACATACCCCAAGAAGGTCAAAACATACTCAAAACAGTAGTCCCCAGACCATGTTTGGACTATTGTTTTTGATTATTTTTGGGGTATCTTGTATTTTTCGTCGACAATCCCCCTGTAGGGGGACACGCCCGACATAAGCCCAGCCCGCGCCCGCTGGGGTCGGTCCCTCCGATCTGTCCAGTACGATCCGCCCGCCCGACTCGGTTGAGCTACCGTTTCGGGGTGTCCCCAAGAGCAGGGGCACCTTGATAAACCAAGAGGGCGGGAGTCGAGGGTCCGTAGTCGTTTTGGCTCAAGCGCGAGGGCGGATCAGGCGATTTTGCGTTTTTGGGGTCCGATTTCGCGCACATGCAGATCACGAAATTCTCCCGCGCGTTCGATGCAGTGATCTTCACCCTGTTCCTGCTGTTTCTGGCGGGCTTCAGCCTGTTCGGTCTGGGAGAGCTGCACAAGATGGGGGTCGCAAACCTGGAGAGCTCTGGCAAGAAGAAAAAGAAGGCGTTCTCGTTCGCGATGCTGGTGAACAAGATGCTCCCCTTCCCAGACAACAAGTTCGAGTTTAACCTGACCCATGTCTTGCTTTTTGGCATGCTTATCGCAGTGCTGAGCCTGAATCACCATCGTGCTCAGGACGAGGTCGAGCAGAAGCACGAGAAGCAGAAGAAAAAGGCGGATGAGGCCGAGCAGAGGCAGAAGCGCGAGGCCGAGGCTGCACGACGAGAGAAGGAGGAGGCGAGTAAGGAGAATGCTTCCAACACGGCTGAGGCGGCGACAGAGAAGCCCAAGCAGAAGGGCGCGAAGTAGGCCAGGTCTTAGCATATTAAGGCTCTGTCACCAGCGAGGCTTGAAACAAAAGAGGGAGGGCGTCGAGGGGTTGTGGTAGGGATGTTGAGCTGCACGCGAGCAATGAAGAGCGATCATTCTTCACATTTCTGACGCTTCGCGTGTCCCCACCAGCCCAGTCTAACACAATCTCTAAACAAACATCAGAGATGTGAACCAGCATGCAGTCAAGGCCTGGGATCATCCTGGAGGCTCTTTGGAGCCATCGTGGGGTTCTCTTTGGAGCCTCCTGGGGGTCCTCTCGGGGGCCTTGAGGGGCCTCTTGGGGCCATCTTTGGGGGCCCTCGATCGAAGCAGAGGGCTGCGCTCATGCCAGTCCCCCCGGTCGGTGCCCTCCGCACCGCCACTCGGGGCCCTCTGGGGGCGCTCCTGGCGCAATATTGGGCCACGGTTGGGGCTCTCTTGGGCCATTTGTGGGCCATCGTGAGGCCCCGAGGGCCCATCGGAAACGAAGAAGCGACAAAACAGAGAACAATGCGTTGCCTTGGGCGGTGGTAGGATCTGGGCCTCTCGGGGTGTCCTTGGGAGGCTCCGTGGACTTGGGTCCGTCGTGGGGCGGTCATGGCGCCTCTTGGGGGCATGCTGGGAGCTGTATCAAGCCATCGTGGGCCATGGTGTGCGATCTTAGAGGCCATCGTGGGCTGCTGGGGGCCATCTTGGGCCATTCTTGACGCTCTGCCCAGTCGCGGCTGGGCCCGTCCAGCCCGACCCAGGGAGAGGGGTGAGGGGGAGAGGTGCACACTGTTCATGTCCAATTCTAAGTTCTTTGATTTTTGTTTGGGGCCAAGATCCTTTCATTTCTAATTGTTCTATCCTGGGCCTTTTCCTGGCCACTGGGGGGCCAGGAACAATCAGGAACGAGCACAATTAACAATGAGCACGATCAGAAATGCACGACGTGTAAGCCTTCCCAAAGGCGACGAAGGAGGTTGGAAGAACTAACTTCCTGAATCACCTGCGCCCAACGGTCTGGTGGGATAATTGCGGTTGTCGTCGTCTGCCTCCACATCCCCTTCATCCTTCCTTTCCCTGCTCCTGCGTGGCCAGTTTGACTCAAGATGGTTTTGCAAATGGTAGTGCACGGATGCCGCTGATCCGTGGCCAGTAACAGCCTCTTATCTCGGATCTCCGTCTGCGTGGCCGTACCAGCCAGCCGTTGCGGATCCCGCGGCCGACCCACGTTGAGAAGAATTAAGAAGCTCAGCGGACGAGATCGACCAGAGTGCTGTCGGCGGTTGCGGAAAAGCTACCTGTCGCGGCCACGCAAAGTGTGGAGCCGATATTCTAAAAGTTTGAGGGGATCGCGCTCAAACGCTGCAGGCTCGCCGACAATCGCATCCGTGAGGTCTACGGCCACGAGGATGCCGTCGAGCGGCCGACCAATGACTTGCAGCTCCGCGTCCGCCGCTCAGAGGACCAGCTCGACGAGGCCAATCGCGCTAACAGGCCCCCGATCGCCACCACCTCCGATGGAGGCCACCAGGCGGGCACCGCGGTCTTCACGGCCCGTGCGAGGAGGATGCGGGCCAGCGCGGCGCGGAGATGGTGCTCTCTACTGGGCAGGGCAGTGTTTGAGATAGGGGAACACAAAGTGGCATAAACATAAAAACTCGGAGGTCCGCGCGGATTTCTCGGATCGGCCCTGGGGCCCCCCGGCGGCGCCTCCGGCGCCGCCCCTGGCGCGCTCCGCGCGCCAGGGAGGGGGGTCCAGCGCCGATCCGAGGTATCCGCGCGGACCTCCGAGTTTCTATGCTTATGCCACTTTGTGTTCCCCTATGAGACCATCTGGGCGACCCGCGCAAGCTTTACGGCGGCACTCTTGGCCGCCGCTTCGCGTGCCGATTCGATAGCACAAGCGCGACGGCGGAGCAGCGGGTGGCCAGTGTTCACGCTGCTCTTCGGGATTCCATGGGGCGCGTGGCAGCTGCGAGAATCGCGGCACCTCCGGCGAAGCCCGCCCAGGCACCGGCGGCAATCATGATCTAGCGGTGCCGACGCACCCTTTCGAATGGACGCTGGTGGTTGCGGCTGTTATCAGAGCGTGAATTACCTACCCCGCTTTCGCTTCCAGGCAAAACCAAGTCATACCACGCGCCTCCTCGTCAAGCGGCCTGACCAGTACAGGCCGTAGTTTGGCATCGCTTGGTATCTCTTGGAAGCGAGGGTGGCCAAAAGCGAGGTAGGCTTGTTTGCCCCAGATGTTAGTCTCCAGTCAGTGAGAACGCACTTGCAGCAGACTTTGGCTCGAGCTTGGTTTGAGCGTCTGCGCGGCAGCGAGATTGACACCAACACCAATATCGGCGCTGTTCCTCCACCGAGGGAAGAAAGATCCCGATCTCGGTGATGGTGGTAGTATGTTGGCTTCAAGGTGGCCGAAGTACTACCACCAACATCGAAATCTAGGATCATCTCCCCCCTGTGGAGGCAGAACCCTTGTCTTGGTGTTGGTGCCGATTTCTAGGCCTCCAATTCTGCGCGGCAGCGAGCAGATTCGATGCGTCGCCGCGCACCCTGCTCGGACGCGCGGCCTCCCGCCCTGGGCAGGGCGCCTCGCTCCCCGTGGGCAGGCTCTCCTGCCTTGCGCGCGCGAGGCTCGCTGGGGGCTTTCTCTCCCGCGGTGCCGGCCTGGTCGACCTGGGCGCGCTGAGAACGCACGGCGCGGCGACGGTGACTCAGGAGGAAGAGAAACACACAGACACAATTGATCCTCGATTCCCACGAAAATCTGGGAAACCATGGGCTGTGGGGGGGAAGACAGAGACCCAGAAGATAGGGGAAAATATGGGGAATGCTTTTCTTTGAGTGTATTTATTTGAGTGCCCCAGGGCCCCATTCAGTGACGCGCGGAACCCCGCCCGCTGCTTAACTACGGCCCTTGCCCGCGGCACCCCCGCTGCAGCGCGTGCGCTCCGCCCCGGCGCGCGCCGGCGCGCGCCGCCCGCGGCGCGCGGGCGCGACGCGGGCGACGCGCCCCCGTCCAGCGCTGAGCCCCCAAGACGGACCCAAGAGGCCTTCAAGATGCCCTAGATTCGGCGACTACGAAGGGTGTGGTTACGCCGGGATGTGGTTTGCGATCGGCACCGTCGGGGCCTGGGGGGCACGACACTGTCCTCGTCGGGCGTCCTCGGGGTGCGGCGGAGGGCTCTGTCGAGGTCCTCGCCCGCCCCCCAGGATGCCCCTCAGGGTGCTGGTTGCAAACCACACCCTTTGCAAACCACACCCTTCGGAGTCGCCGATAGATGACCTCCAAGACTACCCTGAAGCGCCCGAAGAGGGCCCCAGTCGGTTCAGAGAGGCCCCCGAGACGGTTTCCAACGGCGTGCGATGGGCTAGGAACGCCCCAGGACTGCCAAAGAAGACCTCAAGAAGCCCCAACCGTACCCCAGGAGGCCCAAGGAGGCCCCCAAGAAGCCTCCAAGAGGCCTCCAGGAAGCTCCCAGGCCGAGAGCACGGCCTGGGCCCCGGCGAGCGGCGCGGCGGGATGCGGCGCGCAGCTCGGCGGCGAGCGAGGGGGGGGGGAAGGGCAACGAGGAGTAAGTCGGGCCTGTCCCCCTACGAGGGAACGGGAAGGGGAACGAGGAGTTTTTCGACGAAAAATAAAAAATCCCTCCAAAAATAGTCCAAAAATAATCCGAAAATAGTCTGGGGACTATTTTTTGGAATATCCTTTTTGGAGTATGTTTGGGATATTGAAAGTTTTTCGTCGAAAATCCCCCTGTAGGGGGACACGCCCGACCTGAAACGAGGAGGCTTTCTCAGGCTGCGGCGGGGCTCCTCAGAAGCCCTCTGGCCCTCTGGGGAGTGCCCTGTGCCCTCGGGGAAGGCCGGGGGACAGCTGCTCAGAAGGCCGGGGCCGCCCCCCCTCTCATTTCCCCCCCGGGCTGGTCGCCGAACAGTGAGGGGTTCACAAAAGAACGGTGCAGTTCTTTTTGGTTTGAGGCCACTCCACCTCCGGTCCCATCGTCGACGATGCTCGTTCGATGCTGCACCGTAGGCAGTTTGGCCCGAAGAGTCCTTCGGGGGCGAAACGCGTGTATGGATACAGTCAGGGGCTGCCTGACCTTTCTGGAAGAACAAACGAGTGAGGCCTGTTGCAGTCTAGGGCTGCCCAAGAGCATTCGGAATACGGAGCCGCAGAGAAAAGAAAAACACCCCTCAGAAGATGCACTGCCTCAAGAACTTGCTTTACAAGACACAAGAACTGTGCCGAATGCTCGACGTATGCAGCCGCCCAACTGGACACATGAACACGTAAGGAAGCGGCAGCATGGATGACTACTGCACGAACACAAAAGAAAGCAGGCTATATATGTCCTTCTCTGTCACGTGTAAAGCTCGGGCCGGCTGGTTTTAGAACCGCCGGCGCATTCACCACGGCAAAAGGACGACTTCCTTGGCTTCCTTGCCGAAGCGCTTTTCGGATCCGCCCGAGATTGTGAAGAATCTGGGGCTAGAACAGATGACGCTGCAAGAGATCTCCCCAGAGTGTGGCAAGAACTCGCCTCATCGGCTGCTTCAATTCGTCGCGAATGTGCCCGCCAAGGATGGCGGAGCTAATCTGGCGGCGTGCTTATCAACGCGGGTACGTCGGGGATGCGGGGGTGAACGAGAGCCGGCCAGACGTAGAGCAGGTGCCAGAGCGAGCTCTGCAGCAAGACTTCCCCCGAGGTCTGCGCTTTGGCCGACTGCACCTGCTAGATGTGGAATGGCCTCAACGCGAGGCTGAAGGCCATCAGGAAGAAGAGGAAAGGCAAAACGCGTAGCCTCTTTCTTCTTCGCGCTTGAGACTCGGTCCAGAACACGTGGATCACGGACCACCGCATGCCGAGAGCTTGGCGCGGGCGCATTATCTGATTATGGTGGGGGGAGGGTCGACCATTTCGAATAGCATATCGTGCGTTCCCCCACGTCGCGGCGTATGCTCTACGCTAGTCCATCCCCCGCGTCATCTGCCGATCTTCTCGGCCTCGTCGCTACTGCCCCCGATCCCCCGATCCCTCGAGGGGTGTCATCTGTGTCACGGCCTTTTGTTTGCTATCGCAACCCAATCACAATACAAACCTTGTGATCTTGCTTGGATTGACAGGTCGCGATGCCCTGTGCCGAAATCGAAGGAAGCGGCACGCTTCCTGGCCGCGCTCCATGTTTTGCTCTCCTTTTACATACTCCATGATCCTCCTCTCCGTAGCCCTCCATCCTCTTTCTGCCTATTCCTCCGCCCTTTTCCTCCTCCTCCTCCTCCTTCTCCTCCTCCTCCTGCTCCTACTCCTGCTCCTCCTCCTCCTCCCTCCCTCCTCCTCCCTCCTCCTCCTCCTCCCTCCTCCTCCCCTCCTCCTCCTCCTCCTCCTCCTCCTCCTCCTCCTCCTCCTCCTCCTCCTCCCCGTAGCCATTTTGGCTCAAGATGATGAGTTCCTCAGGGGAACAAGTGGATACCGCTAGTCCGCGGCAGTGCCAGGGCTGTTCAGCCCGACATCTTCTCTCGAGACCTGTACGGGGAGCTGCGCGCTGCCGTCCAGAGTCCCAGTCTATCCCGCCGCCATGTCGGATCGCAGGCGTGGAGGCGGCAAGTCCCCAGCTCCAAGGATCTCCTTCTCGGCCGACTACGTGGGATGCAAGAAATGTGGATACCGTTGGACCTACAAGACCAAGCAGTCGTGCTACAGCTGTGGGCAGGCCCTGCGACCATCGTACTCTCCCGCCCCAAAGCCCCGTGGCGTCTGGGCTAGCGGCAGCAGAGGCTGGTGGCAGGACAACCACAAGGGTCAGACCGACTGGTACCACGAAGCCGAGGAGACCACGCAGAGGACCGAGCCGCTCGCGATCGGCGAGGTGGTGCAGACCCTTGGTGGGCAGGCCCTCTCCGAGGCCCAGCGGCAGGCGCTCCAGCAGCTCGAGAGCGCCTTTGCCCCGCCGGCACCTGCAGAGCGTCCCGCGCTCCTGGAGGAGGGCATCCAGCGGGCGGCCGCAGCGGAGAGGGCTGCACGTCGGGAGCTGGAAAAGCGAGCCAAGCAGCTGGCCGACGCCAAGCTCTGGCTCGACGAGTGCCAGGCCCGCTCCGATGCCGCAGCTGACGCCCTGGTGGGTGCGGAGGTCAAGCTGGCTCAGGAGAAGAAGGCTTTGGCGGCTCCAGGCAAGGACTCCCAGCCCGAGGGGACCAACAAGGGCGGCGGGGTCATCAACCTCTCTGCCCTGCTGGGCGAAGGCGAGGCCAGCTTCGTCATCGAGGACGGCCCCCTCTTCGACCTTGAGGGGTTGGACATCGCGGCCGAGCAGCGGGAGCAGTTCAACAAGCTCAAGCAGACCTTCGAGGCGTCGGTGCAGCAGGCGGTCCGCACGCACTTCGGGCCAGGGGCCGACGTCCTCAAGTCCCAGCGTGAGCAGTTTGAAGAGATCAGGGTGCTCCGCGAGACCTTCAAGAAGCGCAGGCGCGAGGCCCCCCCTGCGGCGGCGGCGGCTGCAGAGGCGCCCGCGCCCCAGACCCCCGAGGGGAGCCCGTCGCAGGCGCCTGCCCAGGCCACGCGCGAGGACCCTCCTGCGGAGGCGGCGGCTGCGGAGGCGCCAGCGGCCCAGAGCCCCGAGGGAGGCCCGCCGCAGGCGCCAGCCCAGTCCTCCCAGGAGGCCCAGCAGGCCGCCCAGCCCGCCGCGGAGGCGCAGGGTGCCCAGGGCGCTTCGCCAGGCGCTGCCAGCGCTGATGTTGGCCCTGACGCTGGTTGCGAAGCCGCTGGCAAGGAGCTGGCGGAGGCCTTGCAGCGCGCCAGGGCTCGCAGGGCGGAGGCAGTGGCCAAGCCAGTGCCGCTGTAGCCCGCGCGGGCTCGGCAGCTCGGCCTCCACGGCCACAGGTACCAGTACTCAATGCTCTACATGGTCGGGCTCATGGCAGGAGTCTAGCACGTCGCAGGAGTCAGATCACGGCAGAGGGCCTCCTCCTGACGCAACATCCAGTACATCTCTCTCTACATGGTCAAGTTCACATAAGATGAGCCCCC